TACCCAATGGCTGTGAACATTCTAAACTAACACAAGTCTCATTAAGTGTCTAGTTTAAGGGTATTACACAGAAACACACCACAGGAACATGAATCAAATGWRTAYTTTATTMATTTWYAATAAMTTCATAWTGTACATAATTCTGATTGAAGCTAAGGGCATACAACTGTTTAACAAAAATTGCCAACCCGAGGAGGAAAGGGCTTGCTCCAAACGCCTTTAACAGGGAAAGACTGACCGCTAGAGGTACCGGAGGAGGATGGGGTCCAAATTCTGACATCTTAGTGGGATCCAAGAAAATGTTTTCAAGAATGGTTAACAAATTCAAAGTACAACTAAGTTCTATGTCCCTAACAGCCCTTCTCAAGCCCAAGTTCCACCCAAACCCAGAAGAGGAGTCTGAAGACGAAATGAAAGAATTGAAAAGCTCATTCTTCAGATCAAATAGAGCATACAAAGATGGGAACTGGTCCATCAAGGGAGAATTGCCAACCCAAGTTTGCTCCCAAAACTTTATAAGGTTACCAGAATTCAAATCACACCTGATCCAAGGAGAGAAAGCTAGAAGAAGATTATGGACGGCTCTCCAAGGTGAAGCACATGTAGTCCTTGCCAGAATTCCAAGATCCTAGCCATTGTCCTCCAACCCATGAATGCTAGCCACTATCTTTGTCCACAACTTTTCCTTTTCCACCGGAAACCTCCAAAGCCATTTCCCCAATAAAGCCATGTTTCTTTTCCTGATGTTCCTAATCCCAAGACTACCTAGCTTCTTGCACCTAGTCACCACCTCCCACGCTACCCTATGGTCCCTCTTCTCCTCTCTTGGCTCCCACAAGAAATCTCTTATTAATTTTTCCAATTTATTGGAGACTTGTGGGTATCTTAAAGACTGACAAGAAATACACAGGCAGGTTAGTTAAGGTAGACCTGATCAAAGTGATCCTACCCCCTAAAGAAAGATAAATTTTCCTCCAAGAAACAAGTCTTTTCTCAAGACTTCTTTTTTTATAGTTTTTAGCACTTTATCCATTATCAATACTCTATAATATCACGACAAATGTAGGAAAGTTCCCATTCAAATAAGTGGCTTGCAACATATACATTATAACCAAAGACTTTCTTTGAATACTCAATGATGTAAACATTGAATCCACAGAATCCAGGAGAAAGCTTCCTTGATTAGGACTGAAGATTGTGAAGCATACATATTTGCAGGGCTATGAATTTAGTTCTCCTAGATCAGGTATAATTTATACCTTAGAAATTCAAGAGAGCAGCAACCTTCTGCAATGGCTATCACTCCCACATCAGTGATTTGAACACACCTATCAAGTCATACACAAGCCCTTATCAAGCTGCATACCTTTGTCTTTGTTTCCATCACTAGCTATAACAGCTCATAAGATTTAACTTACCATGTCAAGTTCAGAGACACCAGATTCTTGCACTTGGCTATACAGGAAAGGCCTTGATCGGAAAGATTCTGACATGCAGATTCAGTGATTCACATAATTAGTTTTTCCTCGTAACTACAAAAACTAGGTCTGAATATTTCAAGCAGGATGAAATTTACCTGTGCACCACAGAGATCTAAGAACCTCAGATGAGCTAAAACTGCAATCTTCTTGTAAGCTTCATCAGTGAAGCTGAATGCAATGAAGGCAGAGAATTCTACAGTTCAGATATTACAAAGAAACCCAACAAAGAGTAAATGCATCTATACATACATCTTAATGCATAAAGAACATATTGCATACCTTGAGAGTGCATAAAGGTTGAGACTTCGTAACAAGCAACACTTAAGCAATACTTGTTGCAATCCACCATCTGTTACCTTAACACACCTAAGAACAACAAAATGATGAATATCTGTAACATATGCATTATCTTGACTAACTGGTGACAGTAGTTCTTGATTTGAGATGGCTTAGGCAAGATGTCCAACATGGAATTTACATTAAAGATTGAAGCCTCTAGGATGGGTATGGCATAATGTCCATGCATATTGATTTGAGATGACAAGCCAGAGATGTTCCAAAAGGAAGAATCAAGGGGGATTCATATAATGGTTGAGCACTCTGTGAGATGAAAAGAATCAGCTTGTTTATATTAATCCTAGCCATATCTGTCAAAATCTTACAATTTTGGATACTATACATGATTCAAATCATGAATCCCAAGGTCCTATATCTGAATCCTTTTCTTAAAAATCTTATGATGTATAAGATTCATGTGATTTGAATCAATTCAATTCAGACTTAATTCTCTACCTAGCCTCCACATATTCTTAATTTTTGGCAAATTTCTAAAACAACAGAAATTATCTTATAATTCAGGATCCGATTTGATTCAATCTTCTCTATCATTTAAAATATGGTTATAATTTTCAAAACACCTATCTTATAATTCAGTATCTAATTTGATTCAAGTCCCCCCCCCCTCCCTCAAGTGCCACTCTAGTAATAGTAAACATAATCAGAATGGTGATCATTCTGTTGGATCATTGGTAACAGCTATACTTGCCTTTGGAAAATAATTAATAGATTGGATGGTGAGGGTTATCTCAAATTAATGAATTCCAGCCTATGGTTCATGCAAGACATGTCCTGTCCATTGGACAGCTGGAGTCAGAAGCCATCTACTAGTTGTCTACTTGCTGAGCAGCTAGTGTCACAATATGGTTTATTAGAAGTTTAGAACATATTCCGTATTTTATAAGTGCAACTATTGAGATCTGGAGACCATGAGTGAGAAAAACCTAATAGTGATATCTTGCTTCCCAACTCCCAAGGATCAGATACCATAAATGGTTGATTTATTCAGATTAGTGCCTTTATCCTACTAAGTGGATAAATTCGAATGATATTATGCTACAAACAGAAGATTCAAGGATCAAGATCTATGAACACAATTCCCAAACTGATGGGGGAGAAGACTAGATAGAACCTGCCTACTTGGGCTCTCTCTTACCTTTAAAAGAATTATTTATTCAAGATGTGAACCTGTCCTTCAAATCTGATATAAAACTGATAAAAAATAAGAAAAGTGAGAGAAAAGAAGGTTACAGAAGAATAGAAGAAGAAGAGAAAGGAGAAGAGAGTTTGATGGGTTTCTCTCTCTCTCCCTTCACTAATCTTTTATTAATCTTAATAAATTATGCTAATTACAAGTCTGCCCTTTAAGTGGGCGGCCAGCAAAGCAAGAACTTAATAGAAATTAAAAAGAGATTAACAGGCCCATTAACTCATAAAACAGATAGAACACTACTTAAACATAAACCAAATATTAGGGCCCATTCGGCCCAGTCTCTCTACACTCCCCCTCAAGCTGAACATAGATGTCAATCATGCTCAGCTTGTTTATATAGTGTGTCAGCTTTCCTTTTGGAACACCTTTGGTCAAAACATCAGCCAACTGCTCTTCTGAAGCAATAACTAGCAAAAAAACTTCCCCTGAAGCAACTTTCTCCCTTATGAAATGTCTATCAACCTCTATGTGCTTTGTTTTGTCATGCTGAACAAGATTATGTGCAATGTTGATAGCTGCCTGGTTGTCACAGTAGAGCATCATTGGTTTTTCATAGTCAATACTCAACTCTCCCAAAAGTGATCTCGACCACAATAATTCTGACATTCCATGTGTCATCGCCCTGTACTCTGCTTCAGCTGAGGATCTGGCAATTATAGACTATTTCTTACTTCTCCATGAGACAATGTTCCCTGCCACCAAAGCTCAATATCCTGAGGTGGATCTCCTATCATCAATACATCCGGCCCCGTCAGCATTAGTGTATGTCTCTAGCTTCATGTGTCCATGCTTGGCAAACAGAATACCTTTCCCTGGAGTGTCTTTCAAGTAGCACAAAACTCTTTTTGCAGTTGCTAAATGTGTTTCTCTGAGAGAATGCATAAATTGACTAATAACACTTACTGCATAGGAAATATCTGGCCGAGTCATGCGGAGATAATAACAACTTCCCGAGCAGTCTCTGGACTACTCCCCTATCAATCAACAGTTTACCATCAATAGCAAAAAGCTTATGGTTTAGGTCTATAGGGGTGGAAGCCGGTTTAGCACCAAGCTTAACAATCTCTACAAGGAGATCAAAAACATACTTGCATTTAGAAATGAAGATACCATCCTTAGATCTAGCAACTTCAATTCCCAAGAAGTATTTGAGATCCCCCCCAAATCTTTTATCTCAAATTCAGTGTTAAGAAATCTTTTGAGCTTAATCACTTCCTGAGTGGCATTACTCGTAACCACAATGTCATCAACATAAACAATAAGAAAAGTCACCAAAGAGTTACTTCTCTTCACAAACAAAGTATGGTCAACTTGAGTCTATGTATAACCAAAAGAAACAAGGGCAGCTCCGGATCTCTCAAACTAGGCTCTAGGGTACTGTTTGAGACCATAAAGAGACTTCTTCAATTTGCACACCTTCCCTTGCATTTCCTTTCCATACACCCCTGGAGGTAAAGACATATAGACCTCTTCATGTAGGCCTCCATTCAAGAAGGCGGCTTTATTCCAGTATGTGCAAAGTGTTATGTACGTGGTCCCTATAATTGTACTTGCCACCTACCCTCTTCACTACTTACCATGGCATATGCTTGGGCAAGAGTGACCTCATCTTTGGCCAAGATGTTCTACCTAGTAATGCCGAACTTAGGGTTGAGTCCTATGAGAAACTCAAACACCCTATTTCGTTCCACTAGTTTTCTAAATGTCTCTACATCGTTAGTACTCTCCCATACAACTGTCTCCATAACATCAATTTCCTGCTATAGTGACTTCAACATGGAGTAATAAACTGCTACACTATTCCCCCCTATCTCAGATTGTTCACATCACTCTTCAACTTATAGGCTCTTTCAACATTTAACTTCTGTGAATATGTTTCTGTAACACTGTCCCATATCTCCTTGACTAAGGTCATCTAGAGGTAATGCTGACTTATATAGGGTTGTTGCTGCATAGAGTTGACCAACCACCCAATCACTGTGTAGTTTTTTTTTTTTTGATAAATCAATCACTGTGTAGTTCTCCTACATCTATTTCTCATATGCAAGGTCTGTCTTTGCAAGTTTCACCTTAGGCTGAGTTTGGGAGTACAAATGCAAATATATAGAGTACARAACCTTATAATTTATATTATTTTGTATGTATTTATGCTCTACATATTTGCATTTGTACTCCTTCCAAACTGAGCCTTACTACCTATGAGATACCCTACTTTACTTCTACTGCAAACACAAATCCATATGGACTATGCCCAGGCTATATAATTGGTTCCATTTAGTTTAATTGTGGTCACACCAGTCAAAAAGGAATCTACCGGACCAACCTTGGATATCGGCATCTACTTCATTTCACTTCCAAATTGCTCCATTGATCAAGCGGAAAAAAAAAACTAGTTTTTTAGTCTTTATAKGCCTAACTTAGGTCAGTACAGTACTTGGAGATTCAAAAACTAGGATTTCACTGCACCCAGCTATTAGGGAGAAAAAGAGAAGAAGTAGTCACTCCTACCAGAGCTTTCCAACCCTCTTCAAATCTCAACCGCACATTTCTAGGGGTCCAACTACACCTCCAAAGCCCTGAGTGCCACATCCAATCCTTCTCCTTAACTTGTAACTTGAAATCTCTCTAGTTAGCTAGGGTTTTGGACAGAAAAGTTGTGGCTCCAATTCCTGGCAATTTTCGGCCAGATTCTAACTCTCCAAACCCTCTACCAACTAGGCAAATAGTCCTCTGATTGATCAGCAACTTATCTCTCCATACACTCTTCCAATCGAAGGGTGTATGGGAAAAAAAAAAGAAGAGAAAAAGAAAAGAGGAGGAAGAATTGCTTTGATACCAAGATGTGAACCTGTCCTTCAAATCTGATATAAAACTGATAAAAAATAAGAAAAGTGAGAGAGAAAAGAAGGTTATAGCAGAATAGAAGAAGAAGAGAAAGGAGAAGAGATTTCGATGGGTTTCTTTCTCCCTTCACTAAACTTTTATTAATCTTAATAAATTATGCTAATTACAAGTCTGCCCTTTAAGTGGGCGGCCAGCAAAGCATGAACTTAAAGGAAATTAAAAAGAAATTAACAGGCCCATTAAGAAAATGCCCATTAACTCATAAAACAGATAGAACACTACTTAAAACAAACCAAATATTAGGGCCCATTTGGCCCAATCTCTCTACAATTCATAAATATCCGTATGGTGATTGAACTGCATCTTCACCTTTTCTTTTTAGAGATAATCAAATTCCAATATAAGCGAGGGTTCAGATAAGTACCCTACCCAAATCTTTTCCTTCTATGTGTCTTTTTTTTTATGAATAGTGAAGTATTTTATTAAGATTAATAAAGGTGAGCCAGTTTCTACTTTCCTTGTACCTTCTGAGTTCTCTTCGGAATTTGGTTGGAATTTGGGACTAAGAAGAGAAATCAGAGACACAGAATTGGATAGAACCTTATCACTCCTTTCCATCCTTGAAGGAGTGTTCCTAGAACCAACAAAGGTAGACAGCAGAATTTGAACCCGCTCTCCTTCTGGTACATTCTCTTGTGCCTCTTTTTTTCAAGCCTTAACACAATCAACTGCTCCCTTTGGTTTATCCTTTCCTGTTAAGGAGGTGTGGTCTCAACCTATTCCTTCAAAGGTGGGAAGTTTCTGTTGGGAATCCTTCCTAGAAAGAGTTAACACAGGAGATCTTCTTCAAAGAAAAAGGCCCAATAGATGTTTGTCTTCTCATTGGTGTGTCCTCTGCAAAGCCACTGGTGAGTCTGGGTTTCACTTACTAATTTCTTGTCAATTTGCAAACTTTATTTGGGAATAAACACTT